AAGGTTTTAAATTCTCCCGGAAAAATTTTTGGGAATCCAAATCTGTGCCCCTGAAGCTTCTCCTTCTCGACCAGGTCTCGGACGTGCGCGGCCCGCTCAACGGCACCGCGCACCAGCGCCGGGACTTCTCGCTGCGCCTGGCGGCCTCCTCGCCGGCGGCCTTCGTCTGGCTGGAGGCCGGCCCGCTGCGCGGCCGCTTCTCCAGGAACGGCTTCCACGTGACGGAGGCCGCGCCCGCCGAGCTGCGCTTCCACACGGACGAGGACACGACCGCGGCCGAGCTGGCCCGCCACCTCAGCGTCCGAGCGCTCAACGGCGCGCTCGCCAGCCACCACCAGCACCACCACCGGAGGGTCATTGGGGTGTGACACCTGGCCGAGGGGTCATTCACTGTACACAATAAAATTTGATATTTTCAGTCACTTTTCATCATTTTCAATCACGTATCACACCCTGTTAATCACGTTTCAGACGTTTTTTGAAATAAAGTTTTAGTCATTTTCAATAAATTTCAGTCACTTTCAGTCATTTTTGGTCAATTTTTGGTCATTTGGTTATTTTCAATCATTAATTCACTGTACACGGAAGATCGAAGTGAGGGACATTCGCACCTGTCACTGCGTGGCGATCCGAGCTCACCCTTTACTCTGGTCCTCTGCAAGGGAATTCCAGCGTACCTCCCGGTACAGCCTCTAGCCGTTCCTCTACAGCATCGGGTCCCGGTGCGGGTCGCGGAGGGCAACTTCCGGTGCGTTGGGGGCACCACTCGCCAGCTCGGCTCTCGACCACGAGCGCGCCATCTCGCGAGGGAAACCTCGAGGGCAACCTCGTCCTCGCTGGGCGCCATCTCTCGGCCAAGATCGCGGCCTCGGCGGCCACCAGCAGCGTGGGGTATCGTCGCCACGGTTGGCGCAAAACTCAGAGGAGTACAGGTAATCACAGATTTATTTATAAAAATTCAAAACAAGCAGTGCGTTCACAGATTGTCCCTCTCTCGCAAAGAAGGTTTGAACAATTATGAAGTGGTCCCACAAAGAAATGCTTTGGTCATTCTCGGTTTCAAACCCACCTAATACATCACACTAAAGACCCGTCTACAAAAATGGACTAAACCTGCACCAACTCAACCATAGCCAGCAAACCTTGAATTAACATCACAGCAACTAGCAGAACTACGACAAATAACAATGGAATGTTAATCATTTCTGAGCAAAGGTTACAGGATTCAAGTTAAATGCAAGTCAAATGTTAACAGTAAATGATTCTACCCCACAAAAATAAATGAATATGATGAGTTGTTTAAATTAATACTCCGTGAGATTCATAATTTCATAGATGCAACTACTATTAGCTACAAATAGAACAAAAAGCAGTTAGTGCTCAATTTAGTCTCTAAACTTGGATAAAATACAGATTAGTATTTCTCTGAGAACATGAAAATCTGGAACTCATCTGCCCCACTCCAAGTAATTTAAGTACAAAAAATTTCATAGCAGTTCAATAGTTAACGAAAGCAGCATAAAAATGTATATTATAGATGACTAGAGATATGATTCAAGCTACAGTTCGCTGCGACTAGATGATCCAAATGATTTCCCCAACATGCAGAGCTTCAGCTGCCATATCAGATCAATGTGTCTCGGCGGCGGAGAGGAGGAGGACAACTGTCGCAAAGAGAAGTGGAAAAGTTAGAAAACAATTTCACAGAAGTTTTTTCGTAGCAACATGAAGTTCAAAGATCTCCGAAAAGCATAAGCAATATGAAATCTCGCATAAGGTCTGAAGCAAATCCCAGATCCAGAAGCATTCTGTTAGCTATATTAATATTACCATAGCCAGCCATTCAGCCATTTTAATAGCCCATCCAAATGGATTTTCAGAGAGCAAGACACAAATGAAAAAATCGTCAGAACATTTTGCCTGAAGAAGAGCCAAGTACCCAACTGTTAAGATTAATAGCAAATCCCACCAAAGAAATTAAAAAAACACATCTCAAGACATTTATCAACATACCAATTGGTTAAATCTTTAGTAAAACATACTCCAGATAGAAGGTAATTGTACCATCAAGTTGAAGCGCGATCAAAGTTCAACCTAAAACATTTACCAGGCAGTAAAACAATATTACATTCAGATTACAGGGTTTCAAGAAAAAAAAGCAGATGCTTTACCCAACCACCATTCTCTAATACTGTAGTACTTTAACATTCCATGCAAAAAAAAAAAATATACAAATAGTAAAGCAAAATATTTAATGAGTACTTCAAGAACATTTGCTTTTGACCTTGAGTCTGACAAGATCATATTTATGGTCATAGAAAATTGGTAACTTTAAGATAGAGCGAACCACAACAAAAACTTGTCCTATTAACAAATAACTTTAAAATAATATCAACTGCAAAATGAATGGTATGGATTAAGCAAAGCAAACTAAAACTAACGTTTCACTAAAAAAAAAAAAAAAACATTAAAGAAGTAAGAATTTATAAATAAAAGATAGTTAGTAGAATAAGTTGGCGAGCAACACAACAGACTGTCAGTATGCATTTCTGGCTACTGCTTAAATGGTTTTGTTCTTTATGGCTCATCAGAAGAGGATTTGTTATACCTGAGCATGTTCAGAGGATTCATATGAGAGATGGAAGGTTCCTTCATCAATGTGGAAGATATATTCAGAGCCACAAACACACAGCAGAGGAGCAGCGGGCCAAATATTGCACCCTCGCTTCCCATACAGTAGACTCCTCCTGCTATCGACAAGCCAGTCAGGTAAGGATGACCTCTGAAAGTGGCGTCATATTTCAGATTTGACAAAATGTTAAGATAAATTATACAGGCAGAATTTGTTCAGATAGATACAGACACAGAAATACATACCCTTTAATTTCTTCATAAACCAAACCATTTACCCATGAGGTCGGTATATAAAAAGCAAGAATCATTATCACTGCCAGCATAGAATGACCTTGGGCAAGCCACAATTCTAAGACAGCTGGTATGCAAGCCCAATAAGTGCCAAGGAATGGCACAACCCCTAATATAGCAGCTAGAACTGAATATATTGAACAGTAAGTAAAACGATTCCTTACTCATATTCAAAAATGCAGTTTCATTGACTTGTGTGCCATATACTACTGAACTTACCAGAAGGTAGATAAACCACCTTCACACCAAACAAAGTATGAATCAACCACGCCCATAAACCATGGAACACAGCCATTTTAAAAGAGGCCCGGAACACGTCACCAACAGCACCATCAATTGCTGTTGCAATTCTTTAAACCAAAAATAAAAGGGCACAAATTAGAAAAATAAGCACTTGACGGCAATGTGACAATAATATTTCAAGCTCATCTACAAACATACTGATTTCCGCTGCTTGGGCTGAAGCCTGCAACAAGTTCTACAGGTCTGTACAAACTCCCACTTGAACTTAATAGATAAAACAGTGCTGTGAAAAATACAACCTGGAAAGAGCAGATAAA